TAGTGGAAGGCACAGACACCTTCCACTAAACCAGCTTGCTCCAACCTGGCTTTGAAATTAAATGCCACTGCTGGGACCAGGGTGTTTAAATGGGACTGTTTTAAATTAAATGGGACTGCTGTGGGACAGTCCCCTGTCCCAGCTGGGCTGCTCAGTGCCCCCATGCCCTGCCCAGTGCCCCCATGCCCTGCCCAGTGCCCCCATGCCCTGCCTGCTCCCAGCCCTGTTTGGCAGCATTCAATGTTATTATATCATTTACTCCTTCGAGCTGGAAGATGATGTTTGCAGCATGTTCTATGAATTTTTCATAAAGATAGAAAAACAGACTAATCTTGTGAGCTTTGAGTCTTGGTGGTGGGTAATGGCTTTGATTTAAAGCATTTTGTCTTAATGATAGTTATATTGAAAATTTCCTGCTGCTTTCAAGCACGTTTAGTTATTATCATAAACATTGATGGTAGAAATGCCTGCCAAATTGTGCGTGGCTGTTTATGGCAGATGAGAGAGTCATCCAGAAATTAAGAGCGCTGGATCAACAAGTTGTGAAGAAACCTGTTTGTACAGAAATCCACCCTGAGGGCAGTGGGGCAAGGCAGGAACCAGGAGGGTCTCGAAGGAGAAAAGAGATGTCCAGCTCTGGTTTTAGCATATGCTTGACAGGAGGTGAAAAATGAATCTGTGATGAGAATCTTAGAATCATTTATGTTGGAAAGGACTTCTAAAATTCCTTTAACCTCACACTGCCAAGCTGCCCTGTCCCTGCAGAGCTGCTCACCCCCATGCATGGCTGCCCAGGGACAGGGAATACCATGCCCCTGCTCAAGGAGGTAATCCAGTGAATTGTGGTGGTTTATGTCCCTGATGAGGATTTCCTCACTGTGGCAGGGAAGGCAGACACACATTCTTCACTGTTCCTCACCTGGAGTTTGTTTAAATTTTAAAATACTCGTGTTTGTTATGAGTCCCCTGCAAAGGTGTTTAATTCTTTGGGTTTTGGTGCTGTAGGAGAGGGGAAGGTGTGACTAGGGCTCTGTGTGTGCAGGGGACAGTGATCCCCATGCAGTGTCTGTCTTAGTCCTCTGTCCAGATTGCCCCTGCTTTGTTGCCTTTGAAATGCAGTATATTTTAGTGGTGCTGGAGTGGGTTTTTTGTCATCAAGTCTCATTTATTAGTCCTTAAGGGCCTGACTGTCATCCCAGTACCGTGTGAGTTCCCCTTGTAGGACAGTAATGTCAGAATCCTCACGTTTATTCTCCTTTTCCCTTCCTCTTTCCCTTCATCATTCATGGCTGAATGGAGTTTATTTGGGTGGGATTCCAGCACCCAGCTTGGCCCAGGCCCAGCAGTGTTCAGGTCCTCGTTAGCACAACGCTGCTCACAAGGCAAATGTCAGCAGGAATCCTGACTTAGAAATTTCTCAGGAGTTCATCCAGGGGGAGTTTATCTTCCAGCAATGACCTTTCTTGTTGAACAGGGATTAAGGTGTAAGCAGGGTCTGTGTGAGCGTGGCAGTGTGCAGGAGCAGGCTCTGGATGAGCCCCCTGCCTCAGCCTGGGCTGCTCTGGGCTCCAGCTCTTGGCTCCTTGACATAAATCACTTGGCTGAACGTGGAGAAGCATCTCACATGCATGTTAAATGGGGATAAAGGCACTCTGCTGAAGGATGGGTTGGTAATAAAATCTCACTGCAGGAAAGGTCCAGCTCTTGCTGTGCCAGCCCTGCACAGCAGCTCCCAACTCCACCAGCACCAATACTGGCATTAAAAAAACCCTGCTGGGGCTGCTTTATGAACCCCCATAGTTTTATATCATTCTGTGTCCCATCTCGCTTTCCCTCACTGCTTTTCAGTGCTGCCCAAGTCTCTGTGGCACTGGGCAGAGGAAGCCTGAGGCTCCCCAAAGCCTGTCCCTCTGGCCTGCAGGCAAACGTTCACCTGCTGATCAAAATTCACAGACTCAGAGTCTTTTCTGTAGGAAAAAAAACACAGCAAATTCAAAGTGAAGCAAGCAAGACATGAACCTGCCCTGTTCCATCCCTGCTCCTGCCTGGTCCTGGCGTGAGGACACAATCAGTGGTGCCCTCCCCTCCATGGACAGCACAATCCCCTGGCAGTTTTTCAGTCACAAGCTTCCAGACACCTGCCCCAATTCCTGTTCTTGCCATGGGATGTTGGTGGCCAGGGGAAGGTCTCCAATTCCTTCCAGCCTGCAAGGAATTCATTTCAGTGCTCTGCAATTCCCACAGTTCACAGCAGCCTTGGACAATTTCTGACGTTCTCCAACATCAGGAATTTTGTCATAAGGACACAGGTTTCCAAAAAGTATTAACTTTTCTTAGTAATGCAGTGTCTGGAGTCTAGAGGCATTTTTCCTTCTTCCTTTTAGTCTCAGGGTACTCCAGGTTTGTGTAAAACAAACTTGTTTCCAGGTAGTTCTTGCCAGAACAGGATTTGCATGTTGGGGAAGTTCAGGGTCCCTTTGCTGTTGTGATGGCAAAGGTGCCTCTGGCTCCAGGTGAGCTCACCTGAGCTCCTGGAAGAAGACAAATACTTAGCAACTAACCATGGCTGAGCAAATCATTAAAAAATGGCTTTCTGAGCCTCCTGCTAATTATGGGAGCTTTCATTTAGAGGGTCTGGAGCGAAGTGTTGGCTCTGGAAAAGCTTCCAGCTTTTTCTGTGGAGTTTTTCAGGCACCACTGGAGAGGTGCCAGGGCATCCCAGGCTCCACACAGCATTTCCCAGACTGTGGAGCAGCCTTTGACATGTCCATTTCCCCTCCTGTGAGCAGTGTGGAGTGTTGAACCCCTGGTCAGTAGATAAAAAAATGACCTTTTCATTCCCTACCTGAATAACCCATTGCCAGCTCTTCCTGCAGGTGTGAAACCCTTACCTGCAGTGTGTAGAGATGCAGAGGAGCTTGGCTGTGGGGTGTGGGGGCACAGAGGGTGTCTCTGCTTCCTCAGCTGGTTGTTCTGGAGGTTTCTGGTGCTGCCGTGGGGTTTGCAGGAGTGTTTTGCTGACAGGATGCCCCTGGCTGTGATGTCGCTCGGGTTTTCTGTGTGACTTGGCAGGAAAATTCACATCCATTTTATTGAACCAACGGGAGGAAAAGGGGGGAAAAGTGCTGGCTTCTAGTAATAAAGGGCTTTGGAACATCTCAGCTGGATATTTTTCTTCACGAGTGAGAAGGCCAAATGTTATCTTGACATTTAATCTTTAATAATAAAAAAAGGCTCTTTGTTTGCCAGCGAAGTCCAAAATCTGTTTACTCTCTCATGCCTTATTTCTTTTAACTTGCTAGCTTAGATGTCCTACTTACCCTCCCCTGCTACCAGTTCAGAGCTGTGGTGAATCATTTATTGTCCAGAACTGACTTTTCCTGTCACCACAGAGCCACCAGCTGCCAGATGTCCTTTTCTTGAGCACTTCATTCATTTGAGAGCTGGGCCCCCCTTGGGTGGGTGATGCAGGGGAAGGGGCCAGGGCAGGAGGGGTCCAGCCTGTGCCCACCACAGGACTCTGGGGCTGGCTCCAGGCTGGTCTCCAGGAGAAGCCCAGGGTCAGTCCATGCAGTCTGACCCACGGGCACACTCCAGGCCACCCAGACCCCATCACCCATTGTGGTGTTGGGTGAAGGTCGTGGGGAGTGGCAGCCAGAGGAAAAGGCTGAAGGAGCCCTGGGGCAGCCTGGAAGGTGGAGATGGAGGTGCTGGGTGCCCAGTGGGGTGTGGGGCAGGTTGTGCCCACCTCCAGCCCCTTTGGCCATCACGTCCTGGCAATGCCCACGGTGGGGACACGATGGGGACACAGTGGGGACACAGTGGGAGTGGCAGACCAGGCTCCCTGTGCCCCCCAGGTACCAGCCAGGTGTAGCTCCAGCTTCCCGCAGCCATCTCCATCCAGCTCCTCCCAGTCCGCTGACTTTTCTTTCCCATTGAAAATTCTTCCTCATAAATTCTACATCCAAGAGCAGCCGTGAGAAATGCCAGAAGCCTGACCATCTAACATGCTTTAATATCTAAATTTCTCCTTCCGTTTCATTCTTATTTACATTGTTTTTCTTTCTCAAAAAAAAAAAAAAAATTAAGGGAGGAAAAAAACTAAATTTTCTTTTACTTCCACATTAGGAGGTGAGTTGTCATCCCCCCTCTGGAATTCTTTTTTGCTTTTGATCTTTATTTATTTGTTTAATTTTGGTTGATGTCCCGAGCATGGTTTTGGAGACGAAGGTAGGTCTTCGCTCTCCAAATCAAAAGGAAAAAAAAACCTAAATAAAACAACACTCTCCTTGCTCATATTTAAAAGAGAAAAATCCAAACTGTTCCATTCCATATCATGTAAAGAAAAAAAAAAATCAACTATTGAACTATTTCTACAGCTTACTGATCTAAAAGGGCGGGTTTTTTCCAAAAGTATCGAATGGATCCAAAAAATGATTTTCCTAGACATGATTCAAGTTATTTGCTGTCAACATTTTAATATCAATATTACCACAATGTGTAGTCTCAAACTAGTTCCTTTGTAGTTTGCATGGGATGTGAATGCTGTCTCGGCGTGCCCAGACCTAGAGAACTTGTTACTACTGCATGAGCATCAAGTCAGATGTTGAAAAATACCTATTATATTTTGTGATAATTTGGTGAAAATGAGCACCTCCAGTCTCTGGTTGCAGTAGTGTGTTGAATGATTGTTCTTTTTTTTTTTTT